ATGTATGGAAAGAATCAAGGATCGTTCAGTAGTATGACATGGTTGCCAAAAAAAAGGCCATTTAAACCGCATCATAAGAAGAATATTTTTTTAAACCGCAGATCTGACTCTACTTTTTGTAATGTGTTCAGCATTTGGATAAGGTGATTAGAGGATGGCAAACTAAGTTTTGTGAGGAGAGATTTAAAGGAACAAAGTAGAACTGTGAAGTGATTCAATTCTGAAGAACTGCTTAATTACACATGGATCAGTGATGGGTTCTTACCGGTTCAAACTGGTTTGGCCAAACCGGTAGTGGTTTGGCAGTCTGGGTCACTGGAACGGGCAATGACTCAGGCCTGCCACACCCTCAAACCAGTTTTCCGGGCAGCGCCATAGTTGCTACCATCTTGTTTTTCAGTTCTGCACATGCACAGAATAATTTTAATTGTACTGCGCATGCACACATATCACGCACACGAGCGAACCAGCAGTAGTGCCTGCCAGAACCCACCCCTGATAAGGATGACCAAATGCAGCATTTGACTATGATTCATTAAAGCAGCAGCTGCATGAGCCAGCTGTTTTGGGCTGAATTAAGGTTGCCGCACATTTCAAGCCATGTCTTCTACTTTGAATTTAAAGCATTTATCTTCTGTCAATACAGTGCATTAAATAGCTCTTCCTTCTCCTCTATTCTTGCCACGCAGAATCAATTATCTGTGTATGCACATTGCACAGCGTTATTTTCATCTACGTGTGCACAAGGGACAACTGAAGAATGCCCTTGAAGTAGCTGTCCCAAAGGTGCTTTTTCATGAGGCACTTCCTTACTTTTTCTTTTGAAAACGTTTCACTTCTCATCCAAGAAGCTTCTTCAGCTCTGACAGGATAGTGGGGAATGGAAGGATTTATATTCCTTGCAGACAGCTTTGAAGTAACTGTGCATGATACATACATGTTTTGGGGAGGGTGTTTCACTCATCTTTCTGTGCTCCAGCAAATGCCCTTTGTAATATGCCTAACAAAGCCTAATGAGCTGAAAACCAAGGAAGTGAAGGTGAAACCGGTCACAAGGAATGAAAAATTAATAATTTATGTTAAAGCTGATTATATATTTGAATAATTTCCCAGAGGAGCCTTTTGATTTTTTTTTAAAAAGCCCAGAAGTATCTAAAAGTTAAATAAATATTCAAGTAGGCAGCTCCTTCATGTGTGACTCAGCAAGCTGGGTTCCAATTTATTAATAATTCCCCTTTTCAAAGCTGCTCGACTGTTGTGAGTTTTGACAGCATTGTGTCAACACAGAAGTCAACAAGACATTTCAAAGACATTTCACATTAAAATAATTTCTTTCTTAAGTTCTGGTAGGATACAGTAGGATACTTCTGTTTGATCTTTATCAGCAGGGTTTAGTTTAGTTTAATTTCTATTTAAATATAAATATGAGATCAAAACTTAGATAATACTACCATAAACAGCATTGCAACAATTCAGCATTTTGTTTGTTTGGAAAAAAAAAAAGATTAAGTCAACCCAAGACGTACTAGACCCGTGCCCATCCTGGCTGGTCGCGAATAGCAGGGAGGTGACACGCGGCTGGATCCAGGCGATAGTCGCTACCTCTCTTCGGGAGGGATTCTTTCCGCCCCTCCTAAAGGCGGCGGTGGTGAGACCCCTCCTGAAGAAGCCATCCTTAGATCCAGCCATCTTAAATAATTATCGTCCAGTTTCCAACCTCCCCTTCGTTGGGAAGGTTGTTGAGAANGCTCCCCGGGGGAGGGCCTTCTCTGTAGCCGCTCCGACCCTATGGAATGAACTACCCCCAGAGATCCGGACCCTACCCACTCTCATGGCCTTCCGAAAGGCTATTAAAACCTGGCTATTCCAGCTAGGTCCAGCCCCGATTAGACTGGGTGCATGATGTGCTTTCTTTTAATCTGTTTTCCTTCGTTTGTTTTTAACACTTCACTTCTCAAAATTTATTTTCTGTAAGCCACACGGAGTCCTTCGGGATTGGGCGGCCTATAAATTTATTAAATCAATCAATCAAATCAAATCAATTTACAGCCCTCCCTACTTCTCAATTCAGCAGCTGTTGCAATTCCAATCTCATGCTTATCATTTGGGAAGAATAATAAATAAAATAAAATAATAAAGAGTGCTATTTCCTTTTAAGGGTTAAGTGGTCATCAAAAATTATAATCTTATTACAAAGTTCAAACCTGTATTTTGTTAAAGCAAAAAAGAGGGCTTGCCAAAACTGAGTTACAGTTTCATAAAATTATATCAATCCATAATATTATACAAGGACTAATTTAGACAATTATCAAGCATTTAAGTATTATTAGTATTATTTCCTATTTTGACTTCCAGTTGATTACAAAGTTAATTTCTCCAAATATTATATATCAATGTATTGTATTTATAATGATAAATATCCTTAACCCAGTTACATGGGACATTGTGTTACATTGATACTAAGGTTGCCTCCACCGGCTATCTTCAAAGTATGTTAGATCTCAACCTAATAAATTTCTCAGTCGGCATAGTATTTACTGGCTCAAGGTTATGGGAATGAAAATCCAACATATCTGGGAAACACCAAGTTAAGGAAGGCTAATTGATTAGTTTTATTGAATAAAAGTTTATAAATATAGTATTCATCCTGAACACTAAGCTAATAACAACAACAACAACAACAACAACAACAACAACAACAACACAGTGATACCCATTGTCATTGGGGCACTTGGAACCATGTGCAAGAATTTTACAAGATATCTCGACAAATTGCAGCTTCCTGCAATAACACCAGCAAAACTGCAAAACAACTGTGCTACTCGGAACATCTTATATTTTAAGAAGGTACTTGGCTGATACCCAGGACGCTGGCAGCAAACAGTATCAACCATTAGCACCAATCTCTAGTATTTGTAATGCATTTTTGAATGTTCAGTTGGCTGAGTTTCATGTTTAATGACTAAAGTATACAACAATAACAACAGTGATTCCCATTGTCATTACGACACTTGGTATCATGTCCAAGAATCTTATTTAAAAAATCAATAAATTGCAGCTTCCTGCAATAACACCAGTGGAACTGTAAAAAACTCTGCTACTCAGAGCATCATACATCTTAACAAGGTGCTTGGTTGATGCCTAGGACCCTGGCAGCAACCCATATTAATCATTAGCATCAGTCAATGGTATTTGTGATGCATTTTTGAATGTTCAGTTAACTGAATTTCATGTTTAATGAATAGCATTACCACTAAGCATAGCTAGCATGTTTAAGTAGCAAAAATCCAAAAGGGTCTAGAATATGAGAACAGCAAGAAAGGATTAGTTTTCTCCATTTTTTTGCTATAATCTCATATTTCCCAGATTTTTGCAGTGCAACTAGGTAGTCCTATTCTCTCACAGTCTGATGTTTCTTGGGAAGGCTCCCCTTACCCCAAGTCCTTCTAAATGAGTTGGGATTTTAATTTCTAGAATGCCTAGTCAATTAGGCTGAATCCATGTTGGCTGGAAATTCTAAGATCTACAACCCCAGGTTCAGATGGAATTGGCTGGGAAGAAATGTTGTATAACGAGTACTTTTATTTTTGCTGCATTATAACCCCTGCATCCATTTATTTACTTTGACACAGTGATTTCTATTTCTATCTGTAACCTCCTCTTTACTTCATGATTCACAATAATGTGCAAAAATACCATATTGACTTTAATGTAAAGCATAATAAACAGTGTCATTTATACATTTGTATTATGGTGACTCTACATACCTCTTACTTCTCTCTGCCGATATTCCTTATTTTTAAGGATAGGGTGAGATATCCACATCCATGGATGATGTTTGCGAAGTTGAGGAAGTACATAGTGTGTTATGAATCCCACAGTCCACGCAAAAATGAAAAGCACCAGGCCGAGTAATTCCTGGATTAAAAGGAAGCAAAATGAACCCTATATCACATCATATACTTAAACCATTTTTAATTTAAAATCGGATCTTGATAAAAAAAAAGTCAGTTAAAAATGCCATTTCCCAAAAAAATACGTAATTGAAAAAGTAACTGAGGAAGGAAAGGAAGGGCTTTATTTTTGCTCAATAAAATGTTTTATTTTCTAATACTGTAGTTCAAGGAGAAAAGAACACAAGAAAGAAATATTCTAGTTTTGCAAGACGTTTGTTTGTTCACAGCCAAAAGACATAATTTTGCTGAGGGATAAAATGCAGGAAATGTTTCGTGTGGAATGCTAGTGGAGGAGCTCAAATTGTGCAAAACACAAAGATGAGGAAAATGTATATCCTTTAATTTATTACAACTTGATAAACTGTAATAAATGTAGAAAAGTAGGACAAATACATATTGGTGAACACACCAAAATTATCTGATAGCAATAGCAATAGCAGTAGACTTATATACCGCTTCATAGGTCTTTCAGCCCTCTCTAAGCGGTTTACAGAGAGTCAGCATATTGCCCCCAACAATCTGGGTCCTCATTTTACCCACCTCGGAAGGATGNGTACTTGAGAGACCGCCTCCTGCCAATTACCTCCCTACGACCAATTAGATCCCACAGATTGGGCCTCCTCCGAATACCATCCGCTAGCCAATGTCGACTGTCGACCACTCGGGGGAGGGCCTTCTCTGTGGCTGCCCCGGCCCTTTGGAACGATCTCCCCATGGAGATCCGGACCCTCACCATCCTTTAGGCTTTCCGCAAAGCTATTAAAACCTGGCTATTTCGGCAGGCCTGGGGCTGATGAGTTCCCAGCCCCACTCGAATTTGTTGCGAATGTTGTTTATCTTTTAACTTGTCTTTTGTCTCGTTTTTTCTCATTTGTTGTTTATATTCCCCCCCCCTCATTTTGGTTTGTTAGCCGCCCTGAGTCCCTCAGGAATAGGGTGGCATACAAGTGAAACAAACAAACAAACAAACAAACAAACAAACAAACAAACAAACAAAACATTTACGTTTGAAAGGACAATGACGTTTTGAAAGTCATCACTTACCTTATTAAATACAATTGACATAATGAAGAAATTGAATAAGAAGTTGTCGGAGAAACCTTTGCAATCAAACTTGAAGAAGATGAACGTGAAGCTTAATGTAACAAACTGGTGAATGGGATTGCAAAATGAACACCGCAGTAGCTTCATTCCCGCAATTGTAATTAGAAAGATATCACAGCTGCGAAGTAAAAGAAAATTAAAACAAATTAAAATAGATGCATTATAGACATTAGGCCTGCTTCCATTTGGTTTGTGTTAAATTTATAGAATTAAAAGGAGAATAGTATAGATCTATTTAGTTTTTGTCAGCTAGCCATACCCTTCTGAGATTTGAACCTGGGCTACTTGCATATTCGGTAGATGTATTAACTTCTAAGCCACAGGTTCTCCTTGCTTTGTTGGCTGTACCAATGACAGAGGTTAATATATCCACTTAGTATGCAAGCAGCTCAGGTTCAAATCCCAGAAGGGTATGGCTAGCTGATTAGAGCTAAATAGCTTGAAATAGATCGATATTAGTCTCCCTTTATTTCTTTGTCGGTAAATATAAATATAAATAGTTTGTCCCGAAAGCGACTGCCTGCAAAGGCTCCTGGATTGAGGCTGAAAGGCGAAAATGGAAGCTCGGTCCCATATTTGGGTAGACCAGGTTGCTCTGATAAAAAACACTTAATTTCATTTGATTTATTTATCCTTTAAAACTGTGTTTGCCTATCCCAGTCACTAAAATATGACTTTTGGAAGCTTTTCTAATTGAGAACACTTGTCTTGATTTAGGGAATTTGTGCTGTTGCTCTTAAGTGTGATACAGGTAGCCCTTATTTAGTGACCACACTTGGGAACAGCAATCTCAGTCATTAAGTAAAGCAGCCACATAAGCCACAGCTGTGCTTATGATCTTACTTCAGCTTTCTTTTGCTTTTCAGACCCGTAATTGGTTGCAAAGTTACTTTTTTTAATCACTGAAGTAAGTGTAAATGTTTGCTACACAAGGCAGCTGCTAAATGAGGGCGATCTATAAATCTGGTGCTGTTAATATTACAATATTAGAAAATAAAGAAAGAAAATCTATGTTCCTCCCAGAATGCTTATTTCTGTCTGTTACTATAAAATGCACATAGTCTTGTTTTTAAACTGAAGGCAAGCTTTAACTGTTTACTTTAAATTATATAACAACTGTCTAATATTTAGTGCACAATAACATTAGGAGTAAGGCTTATGTTACTCTTTTGTAATAAAGTGGTAACAGAACATGATGGGTAAGCAGAACTTTAAAGATAGCCATGTGATATCAAGATGTAAAGAAGCAAAATCTTAAAAAGAAGGGAAAGGCTTAAAGATGAAAGGATGGCATTTATCTTAATTCACAAGCACATTTGGAGATTCCTCTTGCTAAATTTATATGACATAAGCACACTACTTCAGAGAAAAATATGATGGGATTCCTGCTCACACAACTTGGTAAGAACTGTGTCAGTATTTCCCAGATAAATTAAAACAACACAGAATTAAAACAAGATAATATATTTTGCATGAATAATATGTCCATGCTCTTACAAGACTTTGATCCTAGATGTGTTTTTGCCAAAAACAGATATGCTTCTGGTGTGAGTCACGGCTGACTGAAGACATCTTACAAATGACCAGAGGCAACAACTGCTGAGAAGAAGAAAACAGCAGCCAGTAGACCAGTCCTTCAGAAATTCTCTACAGGACAGAATGGGAGATCACCTAGGAGTGGTCTGAATGCCAGCTACTCACAAGGAGACCATAAAACAGTGGTGTTCTGTATATTTGAGCACCAAGTGCCAAGGGAGATGTCACCTTTGGTTTCAGCAGTTGGTTGAGTTAAAAATTGTCACAACAAACTTGCACAGCTTGTAAATTTCCAAGTCTATTGTAGTCTCATAGCCCCATATGTTAATCCTTAAGTTCCTCTCTCATAGTTTTCTAACTAAGTTGGACTGTGAAGAGTTAGATAAGTCCAACAAGTCACAATTTCTAGAACTTGTTTAGTATCTATTGTATTTTTCTGAGTATATGATGCACCTTTGTCCCTCAAAAAAAAAGGGTGAAAATCTGGGTGCATCTTATACACTGAATACAGATGTTTTGGCCTCCTGAAACCCCTCCCCCTTCACAACAATCGCCATGCATAGCCTTTAGGAGACTTCCAGAGTGCTTCTGGGGGCTAGGGAGGGTAAAAATGAGCAAAAAATGGATGGGCTTTGGTCATTTTTGCCCCCTCAGCCCCCAGGAGCACTCTATAAGCCTCCTAAAGGCTATGTAATGCCCCTTTTTTTGACAAAAAATAGGCCCATTTTTCGCAAAAAAACCCAGGCTATTTTTGGGAGGTCTGCAGAGTGCTTTTTTTGACCATGCCCCACCGAAGCATCTCTAAAATCCTGACAACCCCCCCCCCCCGGTGACATATAATTCTTACTTTACTCAAAAAATGAACTCTACTCACACGAAGGAAGCCTAAAAGGCCATTAACTTGGTTTAAACAAGGTTCAAATTGTCCCCATTAAAAATCAAATTGCCCCCCCTGTGGGGCGCGGTCCCCATGTTGGGACCCACTGATCTAAGCATTACATCTAATGCATCTACAGTAAGCATGTCTGTAATTTCTTTCTGGTGAATCAATGAACTTCAAGTCAGTCCATCATTTAGGCAGGATTGTAAAGGTAGAAAATTCTTTGAGAGAGTGAGTGGTTTGCTAGATCCAATTATATGGAGATGTTTCATCCTGCTTTCAATCTTTCCTAAAAAAAAAAAGGTTGAGAAGTTGGTTGCACTGCAGATGACCCTGGAGGAAGCAGGTTATCTAGACTCCCTTCAGTTATATTACAGGCCTGGGATGGGACTGAGACAAGACTGATCTCATTTGTGGATGACTTCTGGCAGGACAGAAGTGGTGTGCCCATTCTTATTCTTGAACTCTCGATGGCTTTTGATACCATTGTTCATTATATCCTACTGGACCAACTCAGGGGGCTCGGAGTAGAGCACAATGTTACACTGGTTCTTCCCCTTCTTCCAACACCAGTTTCAATCAGTGTTGATGGGATATGAGGAGAGCTACAATTCTACAGATAATGCATTTTGAAATATAATATGCAACTTACTGTGAGGTTATCCTCTTGTTTTTGCTGATTAGAAAAGCATCATTGGTGAGGGAGTTCAGTATTATTGCAGGATACAAGATGTACTTTTCAAAACACTGAAGCCACACATACAGTCTCTCAAACCACATTAAGTGAGCAGCAGCTGAATTAAAAAAAAAAAGGAAATCATGACTAATACCAATAATGAATAGCAGCTAACTTTCATATACGCTATTAGGGATTAATAGCTTTAAACACATTATTCATTCATTTGAAATCATGTTAGTATTCAATATTTTCTAATAATGAGGATATTGTTCTTCCTGAAAAATATGAAACATGAACTAAAATCCCCCTTAAACATTTCAGACTGGTTCTGATCATCTGAATACTGAGATGTCCATTAAAGACTGCCCACAAATATGAGTAACCCTGAACAAGTAGCATATAGGTGTTCTATAAAGTGAGAGTTTAAACAGCTAAAAGGTAAAGGCAAAAGTTTCCCTCACACATATGTGCTAGTGGTTCCCAACTCTAGAGGGCGGTGCTCATCTCTGTTTCAAAACTGAAGAGCCAGCACTCTGTGGTCATGTGGCCGGTATGACTAAACGCTGAAGGCGCACGGAACGCTGTTACCTTCCCACCAAAGATGGTTCCTATTTTTCTACTTGCATTTTTACATGTTTTCCAACTGCTAGGTTGGCAGAAGCTGGGACAAGTAACGGGAGCTCACTCCATTACGCAGCACTAGGAAGAATTTGAACCACTGAACTGTCGACCTTTCTGATTTACAAGCTCAGCGTCTTAACCACTGAGCAACCGCGTCCCTCAAACAGCTAAAAGGACACCATAAAAAAGAGATCACTTGCTATTGGAAGACACAAAATACTGTA